GCGGTACGCAAGATAGCACACGGGAAGTACAGACACTGGGCTGTCGTACATAAAATTTTACCTCATATTTCCTTTGGTTTATTTATTAAAGAGATTCAAGGATTAAAACAATAGTTAATGGTGGTTTACAAACAACTTATCCGAAGTCATGACTCATGACAGGTCTATAACAATACTGAGAGTAGTACATGCAAGCACAAGCCTCCCTAAAATAAAAACGAGTCATCAAAATGTCAACAAATAAAACATATTCCTCACGGATGATGAAATGCGTTTTTCAGAATGTCATATGCTATAAAAATTGCTGATAAACAAGTTGTGTCATTGACTAGCCCTACAAGATAGAACCTGTTTATACTTGGTAGGGATGTTACTGACACTTAACTATGATTTGTTGTACTAGATCATTGATTTGAGAGGTGCATCCCTCATTAAAGCTAATTAAATTCAGTACCTATTTGTTTTCTTTCCCAAAAGATATTACTCTAGACTATTTATCAGCATACTGTAGTTAAATTCTCAAAGGAACAAAACAAGAACAAAAAACAGGTTTGTACTCTTCTACAGAGAATATGTGACAAAAGAAATGTCAAGCATGATTTTTGTCAGACCGAATTTGAAAACTACTGCAGCAACACCAGCCAGGGTATTACCTTTATAAATCTATTACACCTTATTAGGTCCCAGAGAAGTAAAGTCCCGCTTCATTTCTTGTTGTTTCACATATGTATAACACATACTTCCACCAAGAACTGTTAAGTTTGATACCCACCACAATGCTGATTTGGCCTCAGCATACCACTGAGTGGCTATCACAGTTTGAAAACATGCTTTAGCAGTTCCCGATATGTTGTGTGTAAGTGGAGAAGTCACCTAGAGAAAATGAAAGGTAAAACTAGTTATTTACATAAATCTGTCAGTGATGCAAAGGGATCCAAAATGAAAAATGGGAGATTGGTTCATCGAGCCCCGGGGAGGGTCTCTTTTACATGCTATTATACATGCTGTTAAGGTAAGTATAGATACCTTAATTTGGAGTCCAGTGAAAAAGCCAATAGCAAATCCACAAACACCACCAATAGTCATGAGCACCCAAAAATAAACACTAAACAGACCATGGTAGTTCAAAACTACAGGTACTTCATGGTTTAATATCATCAAAGGGATCAGAAGAATTGATGTGTATGCATTATTGTAGTAGGACAAAAGCCAGATCTGGAACAATACATGAGGTTTAGAGGAGACTGAGAATATACACAGTGATGGAATCGTCCAATTAGCTATCTTCTATTGATTTTACCTCTTGATTAACTGCTGGAAGAACATTTTTCATGTGTATAGAGTAAAGGGGAAGGGCTATAGATCCAAGGAGGCCAAATAGGGTACCAGTCACTGACAGCGATCCTGTTGAAAATATTTTCAATTAGTTAAAAAATAATGTAAAGATAACGTGATATCATGATGAAATAAACTAACCTGCCAAACTCTCCTGATCAATGCCAAGCCAAAATCCAGAAATTATAACCAAGCAGCATCCTATAGCTGGAAAAGATGTTTTCTGACCTAGGATGTACAAATAAAAGGCTCCGTTATAAGACTAATAAGTAATAGTTTTACAAATATTGTTACACGAGATTGATTTGAAAGCAATTACATACCCAAAAACAAATAGGACAAGATCACGTTAAAGACAGTTGTTAAGGAGCGGCCAATGTAGTAGAAGGCTACATCAACATACTTCAAGCATAAATTATTGAAAACTATCATGGTTGCAAATATCACAGAGAGAGGAAACACCTGCAATAAAACAGAAAGATCGAAATTGATATTAATCATTGAAATACTGTGATAGTACGACAGGGGCAAGTACACACAACAGAACAGGCAGAAAATGCCAAAAGTACCTTCTTAAAAACAGCTCGATCAAGAGGCGTACCAGCAGGGAATGAGAAATTTCGTGGAAATGATGATGCTAACAGTTTTAGCGCCAAACATATTACTGTTGATGTAACACACTGGTACCAAGTGACAAATAATGGTGCATCAAGATCTATTTTATCACTACTAAACAAGGTCTTGTTTACGAACACTGTCACTATGGACACAAACCTTAAAGAGAAAGGACATATAAGCTAAAGCAAATGCAAAACAGTTCATCGGATAACACAAACATTTTTAATTCTTACCAATATCCAACGACAACAACTGCAACTTGTACATATTTGGCACAAAGTGTATCTGAAGTCATAGTGAATTTTTAAATCCTTGAACTTAAAGTACTTGCAGAGAGATTAGGAAAGACAAGAGATAATTTGTAAACTAAGGAGAGTACTGTCTATGTTGAGTTCATTCCACAAAGTGAAAAACTTGATGGAAATTCAATGATTTGACATGGTGATGGGAGAGCCGGCGGTATCCCTTGTTGTCTCGGATGAGTGACAACTGACATCCATACCCGATCCGTCTACAGAGATTTTCAAAGTACGGCAACGACAACGATTGAGCCGAGGTGATAAAGTGAAAGCACGTTTCATTCATCCATTCATTCGCCGTATAAAATTGAGCCTGTGAAATTTCAGTGTAGAAAACGGACGAATGTTGACAAAAAAGCTGACAATTAACTACATTGTTTTTGGAATCAGTGTTCAAAACAAAAGCTACGAAAGGTTAGAATGAGAAATTAAGACTGCCACCGAACGGCAATGTCTCATACTTTTCTTCGGTGATTTCCCATGTGCCCCTCGAAATTTGGACCGGTCGATGTCGATTTCCTAAAGTCGTCTGCGTACTCCAACTCCAAAAAATTTGTCGGTAACTGTTGTTCTGCGCTCCAACCAGGTATGTGTCCGAAATTTTCGTGGACATCCATCTTTAGGTGCATTAAAATTAAGTCAGCTCAATCTGGCTGCATTTTCCTGGTATGGTTTTCTCGGAGTGATGTCACAAGAAGGCGACTGAACTCCGGACACGGCGAGCACGCTGTTGGTCGCTCGTGCCTGACCCAAAGAAGGAATTTGTGCCAAAACAATTCGAAGTTTAGTGACGTTCTTCGTCGGTGATCGATTCGTCCTTTTTGCATCTCAGGTACCTGGTTAATTAGCTTATGGCTCCCGGCGAAGACCTGGACCTAGACAGCGGGGTTGAGTCTCTGCCAGTGAGCAGCAAAGACATGACACCAGAAAAACCCAAAGCTTTACCAGAGCTTGAAGACGACGATGACGATGTGAGTAAAGAGTCAATACAGCGGTTTTTATTCTTTCTAATGGCACCATAACATTGATTGTCATTCTGTAAACAGTTTGAGCAATGAAAAACGTTTTGAGGTTAAGTTGCCCTATAGTTGAATATATGCTTCAGCACCTAAAGTGACCAGACATATCCAATTTTGTTATTTTAAAAAACGTGCTTTAGTTTATTCGCATTTCATTTATCGTATCTTCTATGTAGTTTATTCTGAAACTTTGATTTTCGTTTAGGATATTGATGAGACCTTGGCAGAAAGGCTTTGGGGCTTGACTGAAATGTTCCCAGAGTCTCTTCGGAATGCAACATATTCACTTGCTGCTAATGCTGTGGATGGGACTAAAGGTATTTCGTTATTTGACCATCAGTGAATTTTTAAATTTCTCTTACTCTGCCTACAATTTTATTCAGTATTAAAAAGATCACCAATAACATTTTTTTGTGTGTGTGTTTTTTGACAGGATTATATAGCTTTTCTCGATCAGCCTTTTGGGTTTTATTTAGCTCCTCTCTTATCTTATTTGCACCTGTTCTACTGGAAGTTGAACGAGCTCAAATGGAAGAACAGCAGCGCAATCAAACTAAACAGGTATAAAATTAGTCAATAGATCTCACAATATCTACTTTAACATCTAGTTGATTATCTCTCAATTGCTTTGCTTTCTTTATAGGTTCTCCTTGGACCAAACTCAGCAATGGCAATGGGGCCTCAGCGATAATTACAGGGGAAGGTGCAATAAGGGCACTTTGGGACACAATGCAAACTGGAGAAGTTGAGAATCACTCTCGGGTGTGTAGTAGATATCAGTCGGTTATGGAATGTGCCGTAAATCAATGATTTTATCCAAAACTAGTGGAATTGTACACTGCTCTAAGTAAATGAAGTCAGACTGATATGTCTGCTCAGCCATAAGTAGCTTATCTGACCGAAATTTGAAGGTACTTAAGTAGATATTGTTGCTTTTGAATCTTGACACTGTCACTTCTAGCGCTGCAAATTATCTAACTTTGATACCTACTCGCAAAATTCAGTCATTCTTGAGGATAAGTTGCAGCGTTGTAAAATAGAAGTAATTGCTCCAAAAATAACTTTTATTCCTGCAAAATGTTGTAATAGAAAAGACTGCTTAAGATATCAATTTTCATTTCTGCATTAAATTTCAAATCCTGACAATTGAGTGAAACCTGTTGTACAATAATTCTAATGTTAGTCAAATTTAGTTTGTGTAATAGTTGATTAATATTTTGACTTCAATACATCCAATCAAAATGTCAGGTCTGAGAGCTGCCTGCCTGCAGTTGTTTTTAACTCGCCCAAATCTAGATTTTTGTTTCTGAATGGTTCTGTGAATTTGGTCTTGTGGTGTGGTCTGCTGGGTAATGAAGGTGTGTTAATGAGTTTGACATGCAGCTTCTCATCTTTATTTTACACGTTTCTATTAAAATTAATTGTGATCTTTGTAATATGAAGCAGCAGCAGGGTAATTTTAATCATGTCCTCTTCGTGTTCAGTTTATATGACATAGTAGCAGAACTAGTGTGTAAACTTAGAGTCTGCGCTCTCACAATTCTCTAGTCAATATTTTCAGTATCTCACATCTTTCATGGCTTCACTCCAGTGAACATTTCTGTAAAATATTTCATCTTGCTCAATGGAATCACAATTGATAAAATGTTTCCAGTGTATCACTTGGTGATAGGAAATTACACAATTTAGCCATTGAAAACCAAGATGCATCCTTGTTTCTGTTTTACATATATCTAAGTGCTTCTTGTGGTGTCTCCAAGACCATAGAAGTTGCATTTGGCATCTACTTGCCCCATTTCAAAAATTCCCTTTTTTTTCTGTACATGAATGTTTCCTCAACATTCCCTAAAACTTTTTGTATTAAATATGGCGTGACCCAGAGACATCAGTGTACTGTAGTGAAATAGGTAACGTAAATAAATGAATGAATGGATAACAGCAACAATCTTCTTCATTTTTTATGACTAGCAGCTTCTGTAACCCATCATATTTGTACTTCATTATTTAAGGTATATATTACTCCTAACAAAGTTTTAATTCTTAACAATAATTAATTCTAGATCTTGTTCTGCTAATGTTCTATTGCTCTCAGGAGTACAAGTTGTCTATCTACAACTTTTCAGGAAATAGTTCATCAAGAGGGACATGCAGAAATAAGGACCTAGCATGTTGTCTAACTACCTCAGCATAAGCTATTTCAAATGAAGAGCCAATTTCATTGTACACCAGCTCCCAATTATCATTCAAAACACGATTCATTGTCGTTCCTGGAACACAAGAGCACACATTATTTTTCCCTGTCAAACTGTATGACTCTTTATCATTTTTTTATAAACAGAAACATTAAGTTTTTGTAGGACAGTTTACCTAGCCGAGGGTCACCGCCGAAGAGGTTGTCAAGCTGTAGCTCCATTTTCTTTGGTGTCATTTTTATCTCCGTGGTTTGTATGTCCATGTATTCTTTTCCATCCTTCTTCTTTATCCTCTTTCCTTGTATGTGCCATTTGCAGGTGCAGTCCTCTAGAAAATTGACAAGGCTGACTTGTGGTTGGTTTGCTAAAGTCAGTGTACGAGCGTCCCCTCTTCAAATCCAACCGACTGACCAACGCATTCCATCGATACTTACTCAGGACGACCTTGCTGCCGCCAGCGCCGGTCACCGGGAGGAGAAGCACGCGTCCGTTGACGGTGTAGTTGCTGGTTGCGATGGCACGGGGAAACAGGAACGTGGCGTTGATCGTCAGGTTTTCGAGGTCGATCCTGGAGGGCCATGGAGCGTCATGGAAGCTGCTGCTAGCAGGACCCAGACCCAGATGGTGGTGAGTACTCACTCGGTGTTGTACACCTTGTCGTTGTCGAGGAGCCCCGTGGTGACGAGGTCCTTGAATACGAGATTGAGACCCACGGGGCCATCACCCTGGCTGATCCTCAGCTCACTGACGAGCAGCGGGTCCAGCGGCGGCAGGCCGAGCTTGGGCAGGCCGTTCTTGAGCTTGGGCAGCGTGTCCTGTACCGCGTCGCGCAGGCACGAGAAAAACTTGGGGTCGGTTCGGGCGCAGCGCTTGATGTCGGCGGCTGCAAGCAGGAAGGCGCATACAGATGTATAGAGGATGGCCCACACCCCGCACACTTTTGTAATTATATTGTGCCGCGTGCGAGGCGTGAGATAACTTGTAAAGGTGGCTGCAGCAATGCACGGCACACCAACCAGGTAGCAAACTGCTGTGAAAGTGCATTGTGTACCCCTCCAAAAACACGCAGTTTACACTGTTTCTGATCTGATGAAAAGTGTCCTGCTGATTTTCCTCCCTACCAACAGAGATTTGTCACAAAACGTCAGAATGACGTATTAGTGATGTGAAAATGACGTTTTGGGGTAAAACAAGACGTCATAGTGATGCGAATTTTCATCATTTTGACGTTTTGTGACCAATCTGATGATAAATGATAAATTGACACTATCAATTAAATCGCGAAGTTACGAATAGTTAGATTTTATACCACTGGGGACTATTCGTACAAAACTGACGAGTATGTACTACTCATTATTTTCAATGCCAAACTACACGGTAAAAACATTTCCTTGATATCCAAGGAACATCGGACCGATTCAAGCACGGAGGTAGGAAGAAACCTATGGGGCGTCCTTGAATCGGTCTGGTCATCTTTATGGACACCAAAGAACCGTTTTTACCGTGTATTCGTGACAGATTACTGTCGTGAAATAATTACGAAATTCAGAAACAGTGTAGGCGAGCTTTAGATGGGACATAAAATGCAGATTTCAGACGGTTTCCTACTGATGAGAGGATATATGACGGATGATGGAAGGGCTAATTCAAGGTCTACCGGAAATGAAGAAGGTTTTCTTCCGGGTCCCGACTCATCATTGAAAGAAAATGAGTCGGGCATTGCCCTTAGACCTTCTTTGAACTTGAACTTGTACTGCTTATCTACGACCGACACTTTGCCTTACCCTCTCCCCTCCGTCCCTCGCGGGGAAGGGGGAAGTCCACTCAGTGCATCGCTCTAACATTTTTTGAAAAATACATCTCTGCTCCAATTGTGCACTGGAAAACCAAAGGCGCTAAGTCCTACCTTTAAAAGGCACTAAGGGTTTCGTACCTTTACAAGGGCATTAAGTTTTAGCCCCTTTTGTCTTTGTGATAAGGCACTAGACTGAAAATGTCTTTAGTGCCCCAGGAAAGGCATGACTTTAGCACCTTTGTTTTACCAGTGTGCACGATTATCGTTAGCAACCTTCATGTATGTGAGATGAGTCTCCGTCATTTGAATCATTTCGATTTCAAATCTTTGAATGCCGGTCGCGCTGACAGTGTCCCGCAGTTGGTAAGACTGATGTAAGCGTGGAAGTATGCAACGGACGAAGAGTATCTCGCACGTTCGCACGTTTCGTCGAGTCGATGCTGCTCGGCAAAAACAACTAATTGGTCTCATTAAAGTTGTTCGTCAACAATTTTGTTTTTCTCCTCCGCGTTCTAAAAAAAATCCAGTGTGATTAATGACGACACATGGCCATCCATATGCACATGGACATATCAATCATAAAAGTTCAGAATAAAAACAGAAAAACAAGGAATTTTAGCGTGTGGAAAGGGGGGGGGGGAGTCAGTGCAATGAATATCTGTATCAAAAGTACGACCACAGGTATCATTTCACCTGCATTTTATAATAACTGGATTACTTGCATTGTCCAAATAAAAAGTTAAAGGGACCGAAACCAGGAACCCTGGAAGTTAGTTTTCGACTAGACTAGTGAGCGTCGAGGGGGAAATCACTTGGGTTCGTAGCGTACGGGCTATTTCTCTTGCCATTTCTGTTATTTCTCGCCTTTTCGGAAGCTTTGAGGGTATTTCGCTTTCGGACTATTTCACCGACTATTGCGCTTCTATTTCGGGTCTAGTTCGCTCTAGTTCGCTTTTAATTCGCTTTTAATTCGCCTTTATTTCGGACTATTTCGCAAGTTATTTTTCCCTCGGTGAGCGTTTCCCGCGCTGTACACTGATAAACTAAATGTTCAACTGCTCAACACTTGCAAGTGTGCAACGAGGGTGGTGCAAGTTAAATACCTGCAGGTTTGCAACTGCAAGTGTGCAAGTCCGTAGTTACACACTTGCGAGTGCACACCTACCGAGTTGAACACTTGCAAGCTGGCAAGTGTACAACTGCGGACTTGCACACTTGCAAGTATTCCACTTGCAGCTGAGCAGGGTTGTAGTCGGGCCGGCGGCGGGGTTGTTTTGGCCTACTTGTCGTGCTGACGGTGCGCTCGCCGCGCCCGCCGCGCGCTCACGCCGGCGCCCCCGCGCGCACCCGGCCGCAGCACAAGCAGTTCCACGTTTACCTTTCGTTCGGCGGTGTCGTGTCGTTTAGCCGGGGCGTCGCGGAGACGTCTCTAACAGCGTGAGTATTCTCGGCGGAAGTGTCTGCGAACGCCGCCATCGGGCGTCACATTCCCGCGGTAGCGTGGAGTGCATTGAATACGCAAGCACGCCATGTGAAACACTTTGCTGCACACGCATACCCTCCACCCTCCGCAACCGTCGCCGTCGTCCAGGTGTTCAGAGCGGTAATGGAGAGGCGATGTGCCGGCCCAGCCGGCCCCGGTCGTTGCCAAGGGGGGCCTCGGCGCGCGGTCCATAGCCTGCTGGCTCTACTGTATTTGTGTATGGGTGCGACCACCACAAATTTGGTGCCGACGGAAAGGTCCAGGCTTTGCCCTCGGCTTGTTAAAACTGATCACAATTCACGTGCGCGGGGCACCACAGGCGTCGTAAGTGACGTCGACACGGCCTTGTTCATGGGGTCCTCCGGACGTTGCTTGCCACTGCTCTGACTGAAGCCCAGGGTCTCGCTCGACCACCGGCCGGTGGGGTCATCATATACCTACGCAGTTTGGCCGCCGAGACGACCCCGACCAGGATGGCGGCCGAGAGGAGCGGCACGATGGCGGTCCCGGCCGTCCCCAGGACGCCGCAGTGTGTGCGCGATGCCATGGTGACGGGAACAGACTGAAAGCTATGCGGCGCGTTCAGAACTCTCGAGCTGGTGCGTGGCCTGGAACCTGACTGGGCCCGGCCACTCCACCAGAGTACGACTTATACTTCCTCCTGGTCGTGTTGCGTCACATATATAAGCCCCCTCTCCCCCTCTCCGATCCTGTCTTATCGTAACAGCTTTACTTGGCGCAACTTTGTTTGCAGATTAACATTTTACTTTTCCTTAAATTCTTCTCGAAAACCAAAACAATAGAAAACTACACCTGCCTTCTGCCCTCTCCAGTGTCGCAGTTGTGGATGTTGTGATCGCGCGACGCTCACGTGAGCCAGTGCCAGTACAACTGGACTGGTCATCTACTGTGCGAACTCGTTTCTTTTTTATGTACAGGCTTGGTTCCCACCAGTCTTCAAAACAAACCCGCTGAGAAGTCATGGAAAAAAATATGGTCAGGGAAAGTCAGGAAAATTGCTCGGACGGTCATGGAAAATTAGATATGTGACGGACTCAACAAGTTTTGGGTGTTCTTTTCTGCCGTTTGAGGTCGTAGGGATCCCCTATGTTTCATTGAAATGCTCGAGGAAATTCTTAAAATTTCGTCTAGAATGTCATATAAAATTCACGGAAAATGCCAAGGAGCTCCGAAATGGGGGAAGCCCTGCTGATTCCAGGATTTGATTCTATGGGGGAGGGGAGGCGCACCATGCTGCTGTAGAGTTCAAGGACACCCACCGTGCGGCCAACCGGCAAGTGTTAAGGGCACACGTGTGTAGCTCTACGAAAGAATCGAGGAGGGGGAAGGGTCACTCATCCTCTCCCCCTCTCCCACTCTTTCTCTCCCTCT